TAGGACAAAATTTGCTTTACTTTACATTAGACCCAGTTTTAAGATTTCCCACTAGAAACATATTGCTTCTTAAATCACAGTTCTTATAAAAGTATGCATTTGATAAAATTTATAAAGTGACAACTGCTAAGAAATGCAGACTGAACACAGGTGCAGAGTTTTGAAAAAAAAGCCAGAGAAATAAAGAATAGATTGAAATTCTTCCTCAGACCCAGCACTTAAAAAGGGAAAATTTATGAGGAGGGCCTTTTCCACATCATCCCCAGAATTTCACAACTCTGTTTCTTCTCACTTGGCAAATGTTGTTCTTAGTTAGCTAGTTCTGTTTATGAAGATGTAAAAGATTTGCAGTCTTTTATTTAAAAGACATCCAACAGAGAAAGCTGAGTGGAAATCAACATGGATGTAATTACAATGTGGCAGTAATAAGCATTTAGACTGCAAGTTTAATCATTTACAGCTGACACATTTAAAAGCCCACTTAGTTATCATGACAAAAGCAACAGTGTGGCTTAGTGGTTCTCAATTCTGGCTGTCTTTAGAATTACCCAGGGAGCTTCAAAAAAAGAAAAGTAATGATCTTGGGCACAGCTCCTAGAGATTCTGATTTAAATAGTCTAATGTGGGGCTCAGGCATGTGTTTAAATGCCCCACATGATTCTAACGGTAGTCAAAGTTGTATAGGACTGGTAATGTAGAGAGCACTGTTTGCAGAGAAATACCTGCTTTTCTCTCTGTGATCTGTTGAGATTTCACTCTCATAAGCTAGTACACTGGGCACTCCATGTGGCTCCAAAAGCAAGGTCAACCCATCAGGCACTCGGTAAACTATGTTTTTCATGGGGACAGTAATAAGAGCTCCATCTACTCAATGATAACTACTGAGGACCTATTATATGCCAAGCATTAGAGATTCACAGATGAACGAACACAACTCCTGCACTCAAGAAATTTGGAGGAGACAGAAACACAAGAACATACAATGGTATTACAGGTACATTTTCTTAAGTACCCCCAATTTTCAGGTAGAAAAACGTACTCCCAGCTGGGCATGGTGGTATACAACTATAATCCCAGCTACTCAGAAGGCACAGACAGGAGGATCTTCAGTTCAAGGCCAGCCTAGGCAAAGTTAACGAGACCCTATACAAATACAAAATAAAAAAGAAAGGGCTGGAGGCTTAGCTCAAGTGATAGAGTGCTTGCCTAGCATGGGGATGTGGGGCCCTAGGTTCAATTCCCGGTATGGCAAAAAAAGAAAAACAGTCCCTTTATCCATGACATCTACCCCCTCTTGCCTGGCCACACCGCACCTTCTGTTGTTCTCGTTTTGGTGTTCTTTCAGAAGCCATTTTCCCTCACTCCAGGTTTTTTTATAACTAACAACTGAGAGGCCCTGCCTCTCTGACCAGGGTGGGCCTAGTAGATCATATGACCATCAGATTCTTTACAGGAACTCTGAATGTGACCAGAGTTTTCAGAGGTAGCCCATGGTTGAAGTATACATTAACCATCCTGATGATGGAGCTTCGTTTTCTCTTGGATTTTCCTTCCAGATACCTGGCTTTGCTCATGCATTTAGCTTTTGCTTCAATTCTGTGAACTGCCCCCATTCTTTCTTTGGCTCCCCTGTTTGCTGTGTCAGCTAGAGTTGGTTTTTATTGCTTACAATATAAACCAGCTACTATACTGCAAAACTGAAAAATCCAAAGAAAGTAGAAGTCACAGCTTGTTTTAATTTGGACTTGTATTTGGGAAACCTGGCTTCTGGTCCCAGCTCTGCGTACTCCTAGGGTTTAAATGACCAAGTGGGGCACTGCTTGGCATCAGTGTTCTTCTTTAACATGTTCCTGACTGCCTACATGCCAGGCAAAGATAACCATCATGGAATCTGATATATTTCTATCCCACTGGATTTCTGAAGGAATCACATGAAATAAAAGTCCATAAAAACATCTTTTTAGATATATTATCTAAAAAAAATAAAACTTTTTCTTTCTGGGTATCATAAAAATTACTTGATTCCTACCTTTGACAGAGGAATAGCTGTTACTCTTTCTACTGGTAATTTACTTGTTGGCCTGAATGTTGTTACCTTGTTGATGCTTAGTATATTCAGTCAATCATTGCCTAAGGTTATTCTGAGTATGTTCTAAATAAGACAATTATATAAAATCTCTTTAGGCAAAATAAAGTATTTTTCTGGAGTCAATTCAGAAATCTAGATCACTTATCTGTATCAATTTTCTAATAAAGATATATAAAAATAAAATACACATAAAAATCCAACAATACTTTTACTCTTCTTTGTGATACCATGAGGCTCTTATTTTGATATTAGAGCACAGGGGCTGGCTTTTGGCAGAGTGACTTGGAGACAAAATTAACAGTTGACGTATACTCTGCTTCTTGAACTCTTGATTTCTCTGGCTGTGCAAAAATGACCTATATGGAGAGCCAGATTTACTCTGTTCTTAAATCCTTGGAAATGGCCAAGCTAACATGAAAGGTACAAATATATAGGCCACCAACCCTAGGTTTTAAGGACAGATGCAAATAATTTAAGATTAACAAAATTATAATTTAGTCCTATATTAAAGAATTTACCCAAGATTCCAAGCTATCTTAATTCAAGACATGGGTACATTTACACATGTGTTTCATTTACACAAATGAAACCCATCACTAAGTCTCAGGAAACCGCTGCTAAGAACTTAGCTGCAAGAGTTTAAGATGGCTAGGTTTCAGATTGAGCTTCTATGCTGGGTTCTGTTTCTCTCAATTCCTTTTTCATTGGAGCTAAAACAATAGAATCCTTAGTCACCTAGCTGCATTTGGTAGCTGATGCTAGAGTTGCCTCTGCAATATCCAACCCCCAGACAGATGGTGTCTGTTTGAAGTACCTAATTCCCTGAGTAATTGTAAGGATTCAAGGGGTAATATTTCCTCTATTCCCATTCTTCCCTGGCCTCCTTCTAGTTCAGTTCCCCCCATCATACACTTTAATAAATTACTGTGTTCTTTTTGCGTTGTACAGATAAGCACATCTCTTGCCCAAGTAAAATTTGGATATTTTGACTGTAAGAGCCATGTGCTCCCTTTGGTTCTGGAGACTCTGCTTATAGCCAGAAGAAATGGCCTTCCACCACAACTTTCCACACATATATGCCTTTTGCAATCCTGTTTCCAGCAGGCTTCCAAAATGGTGGAAAGAGTCCAGTCCAGTCTCAATGCCCACAATATACTGAAACTGTTCCCACTGAAGTTATCAATAATCTTCATTAGTCAAATCCAATGGTCAAGGCTTGCCCTTCATCTTTCTGGACCACTTAGCAGCATTTGTCACATCTACTCATCCACCTTCTCCTCCAAAAGCTTTCTTCACTTGCCTTACAGGATACCACTCCCTCCTGATTTGCATACTACCTTCCTAACTACTCCTTCATAGTCTCCATTGCTGGTCCTCCTCCCCACCATATCCCTAAATGCTGGGATGTCTAGGTCAGTGCCCTCAACATCTATACTTACTTCCTTAAGCAGTTTCACCCCATGCAAGTAGTAAGTGCATGAGCTATGGAGAAGACTGCCAGGTGAGTCTAGCTTCATACATTGCAAGTTGTGTTATGGAGACAAGTGACTGAACTTCTCATGCCTCAGTTTTCCCTAACCATAAAATACATGGTAACTTCCTACAGTTACCACTGTAACTGTAAGAAGATTAGTTAATGCAGGCAAAATGCTTAGAATGTGGAAAGCACTCGTTAAGTATTAGTTACTATCCATTTCAATGTCTTTGTATACCATAAATATACTAATGATCCCCAAATGATATCCATGGCTCCCATCATTCCCCTGAACCTTAGTCTCATACCTAAACATCTACTGACATCTTCATGTTGATGTCAAAGAAGATCTAAAAGTTCATATATCCAAAACTGAACTCTTAATTCTCTGTCATTTCACAATTTTCTTTTCCCATTTCACTAAAATGTATCACCACTCATTGAGCATCTAAGGCCAAAAACCTTAGAGTCATCCTCAATGCCTCTATTTTTCCTCATGCAACCGACTATTATTCCACCTTTAAAATGCATTCAGAATTTGAACTCTTCTCACTTATACTACCATCTGGAACAAGCCATCATCATTTCTTGCTTGGGCACCTCCAATATCACCTAGCTGATATCTGTTTCTCCCTTAGCTCTCAATCAATTCCCTATGCAGAAACCAGAGTTTTCTCCAAAAAGAAAAACCAGATGTTGCTTCCTTGCTCAAAATTCTTCATTGACTTCCAATTACACTAGGAGTGAAATCTAAACTCCTAATGTTCTAACAAGGCTCTATGTCGCCTGCCTTTGCCTACCTTTCAATCTCATCACCCACTCTTCTCCCCTTACCCATTCTACTCTAGCTACAGTGTCTTTCTTATGTCTGTCAAACTTCATAAGCAAGTTTCTGTGTCAGGGTCTTTGTGCTTGCAGCTCCCTATGGCTAGAATGTCCTTTCCTCCCAGATCTTCACATGTCTTTTCTTTGTTTCTTTGCAAGCTCTGCTCAATTATATTCTCAGTCCATCCTATTTATAAAACATCTCACCCTCACTCCTGTCCTGTTATTATTTGTTCCCTAACAGTATATGTGACAATATGCATACTTATTTGTCATGAGTACTAGAATGTCAGCTTCTTGGGGACTGCAACTTTATCTTGTTTTGTTTACTGTAATATCTATAGCACCTAAGCAATTTCTGGAGCACAGCAATAAATATTTCAATAAATATTTCTTGAATTAATGAAAAATTAAATAGTGCTTAGCACACTTCCTGGGACAAAGTAAGCAACTCTAAGTTTGTGATGTCAATTTTAGAAAGTAAAAAAGTATTTAACAGGAAACTCAAAATTCTCCTTGGTGGGGGAGTTTAATAACACTATGTAAAATGTCAAAAGTTACAGTATCACATTTTCATCCAATTTCAATATAAATACATTATATTATACTTACTTGGAGTTTCTTCTAAAATTTCCTGGAACTTGGTTCTCTCATAGTCTACCAACTGACGTTGAAGGTGTGGTCTAAGACTCATAATTGTAAAATTGGCCATGTCCATTTTCATGAGGTCCAGGACATGGAATATTTGTCTAAAAATTTTACAATTAAAATAGTTAGAAAAATAATTAAGAAGTTAAGCCGAAATTCATTAACTATTACCTATGTGTTACAGGTTGGAAAAGATAGACATCCTTAAAAGTCATTTGGAAGGCCACTTCTCATATAAGGATATACATGTATATATCACAAGAATATTTACTGTAGCAGATAGAGTACTTCCAGCTTATCCATTACATCCGGTCATAAATTGACAAAAAGATACTAACAAGCACAAACAATTAGAAAAATTCAGAAGTTTTCATTTGAAAGCCCCTGAAATTTTAAGGTACCTGAATACAGTGTATATGGTTTCTACTATTAAGGAAATAAGAAACAATATATAAGTAAGTGCAAGAAAAAAAGGACAGGGTGGTGAGGCACTGAGGAAAAATACTTCCTTTTAGAATTAGGCAGTCCTGTGTTCAAATCCAGGTTTGCTACTGACCTGATTTGTGGCCATGCACAAGTCACTCAATCTCTCTAAGCCTCAGTTTCCTCATGTGTAAAAGAGAAGGACATCAATCTTAGAAGGATATTGTGAATAATCAATGAGATAATGAAGGTAAAGTGCAAGGGGAAGTGGTGGCAGTAGGTACTCAATAAATGACCAATATAAACACTGTAGATTTGATATATATTCCAATGATAAGATAACTGGAAGCAAGGACTCCACAATCTGTCAGAAATGAGATAACACTAAGGACACATAAAGCCCACTTTACAGATAGGGAAAAGTATTACCCTGAGAAGCTATATTATCTTGGTTAAAGTCACAAAGTAAGTTACCTGCTACATGCAGAACAGTTTCTGTTTCCTATCTTTCTAAAGCAATTACATTAAACTCAATTCTCAATTGCTGTATTCATAAAAATAAAAAAGAAAAATTCCCTTCAATAGCAAAAAATGTTGCAGAGAATTCTTTCCTTTGGAATCATAAGGAAGTTATCATCTACATAATTAGATGATAACTTAATGTTCACCTCACTTCCTCAAGAAAGCTGCAGCAGAGATGGCTAGATGACCACCAAAACAATCTCTCTGCAGTATAGATTAGTGGCTGCAAAAAGTGTTTCCAGAGAGCAACTACCTTTCTTGCTCAGCTCTCTTCAATCTAGGTGGGACCGTGTGACTAGTCACAATCAAGGGAATATGTCACTTCTGGCTGAGGTGTTTGCATACTTGGTATGCCTTCTCACAGTGTCTTTTCACCCAGGTGAATGGGTAGCATGCAGAGTTCAGCCAAGGAGAGAAGCAGCTTGGGTTCCAAATGGCATGTGGAAGCTGCCTAACCAAGAACCCCTGGCTTAAACTGTGACATAAGTGAGAAACAAACTTTTACTCATTAAATCACTGAGAATTCAGGGTTCAAGCATTATAATAGCTAGTGACTCTTACTAAAGGCTTCCTAGGTCCTTAACTAGACAGATTCCCCTGCTGGAGACTTTCCTAAGCACTTATCACAACTATAATTCACTGTCCAAGATCTGTCTCCCTCTTAGACTGTGAACTCCCTGGTAGATTAGGTTATATATGTCTTTTTACCAATGCATTCCCAGAGCCCACTGCATGCCAACTAATAACCTTACTAAACCACTTGTCCTGAAAATTCTACATTCACTGTAAATGACTTTCTCCCTATTTTCATCTAAGATCTAGAATTCCTTTGGGAGGCCAGTTATTATTCTGTGTTCCCCAAAGTTCACATTTCCCTTCTCAATGAACTCAAAGATCCCGTAAGAAAATGTAAATAGCAAAAGTGCTAACCTCAGCACTTCTACAATGTTACCAGTAGCCTTTAACTCTCTGATACTGTCATCTCGCACAGGAGCACATATTTTTCCCATCGTACTGATGACATAGTTGGCCAGGCCTTGGATGTCCACAGCGTTATGCTCAGCCTGCTGCCTAATGAGATCTATGTCCAAAACTTCACAGATCTGGTTGCGAAGCCGGTTCCCACCAGGAGTCAGAAAAGAGAGAAGAATCTACATAGGGAAAGAGGGAAAAAGTAGGAGCATCATTATATGAATAAAGGTTGTCACTTTTCACTTCTGTGTCTAGATGCCCAAGCTCCCTGTCCATATTATGATGTCCCTGATGCCACCGACAGTACCTCTGCCTGGGTGTAGATCAGAGACACTCCAGTGTCTCAAATTGAAGAAGAGAGTTCTATCTTTTGAATCAAAGACCCTCAACTTGAGGAATGAATGATCCTGTTGGAATGAAAACCACTGCTAAGGAAGCAACATTACTGACAGCACTTCCAAAAGTCTTCAGACAGTATAGAAAAGAAGGAACAAGTTACAGATCATGGTGCTAAAAGAACTCTTAAAAAGAATAAATGAAAACATGTCCATGGGATTCATTAAGTATATTTAACATATAAAACATTTATTATTTATTATAAAAGCAAGCTGTTTATTGACTATTCACTTCACTGTGGTCACTGTACTTATACATGTAACACATGGTGAAGAGAATGGGCTCTGAACCAGAATTCAAATCTCTCTGTCCACTCCAAAGCTTTGTGACCCTAGGTGAGTTAGAGAACTTGGTTTTTATATATAAAGTAACAGAAGTAACTACCTGGATAAAATGAATAATGCAGTGCATGGTGTAGGCTGAAGTATTAGCTAAAATAGTAACTATCATCTCATTTCATTATTATTGCTACCCTGTACATACTCAGGAAACTAGGACTTCAAGAGAACAGGTCCATCACTAAACCAGATCTGTTTTACTTCAGAGTATGCTCTCAGTCAATGTGTGTGCTCTAGGCATTGTCTGGAGCTCTGTCCACTGCCCTATTTCCCAGCCTCCACCCTGATATAGGAGCTACAGGGAAAAACTCTACTACTGATTATGCTCAGTTTTTCAAAATAAATAGTCAACACTAAAGAATATGAAACAGTCTTTGGGAAGAGGAACTACCTGCTATATTCTGAATGCCTGTGTCCCCCTCCTCCAAATTCGTATGTTGAAACTCAATCACCAATGAGATGATATTGGAGATGGAGCCTTTAGGAGGTGATTAGGTATAAGTTTTTGTCTTGTAAGCTACCCATTCTGTGGTATTCTGCTATAACAGCCCAATGGACTAAGACATTAATTAATATAAACATCAACTTGCCTCTCTGATTTCTTCAAACAATTTGATAGCATATTCATACTCAGGAGGCTCAGCATTGAGATCTGATTCCAAGACATCCCAGAAGGCCTGATGAACAATGTGCTTCACTCGACCAGCCAAGCTATAAAAATGAAATGGACTGTTTTAAAATAAGCATTATTTTCCCTGATTATAAAAGACATATGCTCACTGGAGAAATCTTAGAAAATGTGTAAAACACAAGAGAACAAACCCACCGTTAATACTATTATTAGTCTTTTGATATAGTTCCCTTGTTCAATGCACTGGCAGTGTTTTAACACAGTGAAGTATCCACTATGCACAATATAATGTACTTTTTTTCAGTGTTAGTCAAACACTCCAACACTGAGCCTCAGCCACAGCCTTCCCCCAGATATTTTTTTTAATGATTCTGTACCACAGCTCTTAAAAACTTTATAAAATTCTGTCCTAAAGAGATGCCATAATTTAGATAACTATTTTTCTACACAGATCTTTAGATCTGTTCTATATTTTAGGGATGAAATAACAAAGTTGGTCTTTCTTCAACAGCTGAAGCTTCATGGCAAGGAACAGAACAGGTTGACCCCTAAGGAAACATGACTTTGAATGCCCGCCAATTTCTGCTTAGATGTCCCATTTAAAATTAGCCAGACCAAACTGCTGAAATAGGAACCTTCTAGGAAGAGCTTACAAAAGAATAGGTGGCCACCTTGCTTCATTTATGTCAATGACCTAAAATAGGTGCATATTAAAATACACATTCCTACTGAACTCTGACACCATTTTGCAACAGCTTTTAGAAAACAACGTTATTTCCCTATATTATAATTACTGAGGAGTCTTTTTCACTGTAGACAATACACTTCTCCCAGGCAGAGGCCACAAGTCTTTTGTCTAGGTACCTACAATTGTGCCTAGCACAGTGCCTAGTATTTAGTAAGTGTTGATGAATGTCTATGAATGCGATTAATAACTTGATAGATAAGCATATTTTTTCTTCTTAAAGTATAAATAGCCAAGTATATAATAGTGCCATGAGAGATGAAAATCAGCTTTCTGAGGAGTTTTAGTTAAAATTGTTTCTGTAACTGCAACTATATTCTACTTAGGAAATTTAAGTATTAAAACTTTTTCTAGTGGCCTGAGGTGGTTTATTCAACAGACATGCCATTGCCAATGTTTGTGACTCTCCCAGGTAACTCCAAAACAATGAGAAAGGCAAACATTGCTGGACTCTTGATTTTACAAGTTGCACATATCTGGCTTGAATGGACCAAAAGGAATGAATTAAAACAATTTTATAGATCTCTAAGGGACATCAGAGTTTAAATTTTAAGTTTTCCTATAGGCTGAAATGTACTTTTTAAATGTTTTTTTTAGTATATGACAGTTATACAGAAGGTTTTGCTGTGACATTTCCATATACGCATATATATTGTACCGGGGTTCTGTTCATCCCCTTCATTATTCTCCCTCTTCCCCACCCTCCTTCTTAAAATGACTTTGACAGGTTACAATGTTCCATATTCATATTCATACACACATAGAAAGTGCCTCAACCATATTCACCCTCCTTTACCCTCTTCATTTACCCCCCTCCTCCTACTAGTGCCCTCCCCTTAACATGACCTGTTTTACATTCCTGTCTCTCATTGTTGAAGTGTCTGTTCATTGTTCAGGGGGGATTTCGCCTTGGTATGAAATATACTTTTTAGCTCTTTGATTTTTCTGGAGAATTGGGTGGGGGAGGGTAGACAATCAATAAAATAATGAATAAGCATTTCTATTGGTTATTATAAATGTAACTTTACCATTGCTTTCCCCAAATAAAATATTTGATAAAATACGAGAATTAGTCATATTTTAAAAAGACAAAACTTGGTCATTTGGGAGGGTTGTCTGAAAATCAATGGGTAATAATATGCTACTTCATTTTTAAATAAAGGTAATGTGTCCTAACTCTGCACTTTGTTACCCTCGCTCACACTCTGTAGCCAGGGCAGAAAATGAAGGGGAGAGGGATTAATATTTCCCACAGTATCTGTCAAAGTATTTATGTGCGAGGCACTTTTATGTCAATGAACATACCTTGTTCATCTGAAGTGAGTAGTATAGTCCCCATCTTATCCTTGTGGAATGTGAGGCTTATTTGTGGTCTTAACAGAGCCAGGACTCAAACCCAGGATCTGTCTGATTCTAAAGTACCTTCATTCTGGCTTGTACTTACAACTTTCAAATTTAAAGCAGAGACACCCCCAAATTGTTTTCTTCTACCCTAAATTGTCTTCTATATGTTTATGAAAAATACTAATTTTACTTTTAAAAATTCATTTTCATTAGTTAGTTAATAAATGTGTACTAAACATCCAATACACGTTAGTGCCTGTTTTAGGCACAAGGGCTCTTGCAGTAAAAAAAAAATCTGTCTTCAAAAGGTTATGTTAGCAGGGATAGAAAACAAAACACATTAAAAATGTTTAAGTGGGCTTGGAGTGTAGTTCAGTGGCACAGTACAAGTTTAGCATGTGTAAGACTCTGGGTTCTATCTCCAGCACCAAAAAACCAAAAAGAATAGAAAAGTAAGACAGTCTTCCAGCTATGAGACAATGTGGTAGACAGTGATGGAGAGGGTGCTAATCTCACTGGTTAGGTAAAAAAAGCTTCTTCTAAGGTTGTATGATCTATGAGTTCAGACTGCAATGGAAGAAAAAGCCATATGAAGATCTAGGGGAAGAACTATCACAACCAAGAAGGAAGAACCAAGTTCTGGAAGCAAGATCAAACTTGATGTACTCCTAGATCAGGAAGGAAGCAGGTAAGAAAGTACTATGAGACAGGGTCAGGGAACTATAATCTGCCAGGCCATACCAGAGAGTTTGTATTCTACCTGTAATAGAAAACCACTGAAATGTCTTAAAACGACTTGACCTGATATATCCTTTTGAAAGATCATTATGGCTAGTGTGTGGATATACAGGATAGACTGGGATGAACTAAAAATGGAGATCGAGCAACAAGTAAGGATTGAAAGAGTCCAGGTCAGGGAAGGATGGTGGCCTAGGCTAGGGATGTAGCAGTAGAGCTGGTATGAAGGATCATAAAGAAAACCAAACAGATATATCTACTTTTAAAAAATTAATGATTAAGGCTGGAGGCATGGCTCAAATGTTAGAGAGCCTGCCTAGCAAGCTTGAGGCCCTGAGTTCAAACCCCAGTACTGCCAAAAAGAAAAAAGAGAAAAAAACTGACGATTATTATGAACACATCCTGGGAGGGCTATGATCCATATTTAAAAGGAGGAAAATTAAGCTGGTGCTAGTGGCTCGTGCCTATAAGCCTAGCTACTTGGGAGGCTGAGATTAGAAGGATCACAGTTCAAGACCAGCCTGAGCACATAGTTCTAGCAACACTCCATCTCTAAAATAACCAGAGCAAAATGGACTGGAGGTGAGGCTCAAGTGGTAGAGTGCCTGCGTCTGCTTTGAAAGCATGAACCCTTGAGTTCAAACTCCAGTCCCACAAAAAAAAAGGAAGGAAAATTATGCTTCTGATTTCTTTCCTTTAAAACAAACAAAAAAGGTCTAAATGGTGTCAAATATTTTAAGTTGTCTTAATTGACAGAGAATACCTTGGGACTAATAACTGACACTGTGAAGTTGAAAATTCAATGCATTATCCACAAGCCAACCTTACTTTTAAAGATAATTTATCTGTAAAACTAGGCTCAAGCCTTTTCTTCGTTTCACTCCAGAAGAACTGTGAGCCACCAATGCCAGAAGCTGAGGTAGGATAGCAGGGTGTGGCTCTAACTAGAGGTCCCTGGAGTGAGATTAACTGGGAAATGTCCTTTGCAGCTATGAATCATACCTCCAGATGCTCTGGATAGCCTACAGACGTTGGAAGTTCAGTTGCATTTATTTATCCATCACAACTTGAATATCAGTTTTTACTAAATTGATCTGCAAATATTTATTGAGAATTTATTATATGGCAAGTGTTATGCTAAACAATCTGGATAGAGCAATAAACAATTCAGGCATAGTTCTGCCATTGATGGTGCTTGTGGTCAAGTGGGGAAGATGGACATGGAACATAAAATTCTAAGATTTCTTTACCAAAAGGAAGACAATGGAGGTTACAGGAGTCTTTAGCAAGGGTTAATTGTCTAGGGGATTCAGAAACATCAGGAAAAGCTTCCCTCAGGATGTAAACTGAGTTCTAAATGCTGTGGGTAACATGTATCCTAGAAGAATTTTAAAAATAAGTATAAGATCTTATTAGAGAACTAAATAATGTTTATCTCCTGTGGATATTATACAAGAATTTCCAGGTATCAGGGTTAATCAGTGTCACACCAACACACACACACACACACACACACACACACACACACACACACTCTCTCTCTCTCTCTCTCTCTCTCTCTCTCTCTCTCTCTCTCTCTCTCTCTCTCTCTTCCCTGGCATTTGCACACAACAAAGGCTTCCAAGTTACCTGTTCTCTGAGAGAGCATCTTGTTTCAATTGGAAATTCTCATTTACAGCAATTTCATGAGCAAGAGTCATGTTTGATAGGTTTCTTGCTGCAGCCATCACTTCATCAAATGTTACAACCCTGGGAGGGCTCGTTGCTGAAAGTAAAACAAATGTCAGACAATGCTGTAGAAGAGAAGTTGTTATCCAATGAAGTCTCTTCATGCACATAAGGTTGAATTTATTCCAATGTATATTTCAGGGTTTTACAAGTAAAGAGATTGTATACTAAAATAGATAAACTTAAAATTTAAGCACTCTTTCTATAACTTCAGTTGCCATACTTGATAATAAATTCTCAAATATATCTAAGACAAGCTTATTAATATAGGATACTGTAACTTTAAAAAATCACTTACTGTCAGTGCCTATTGATACTTAGATTCATTTATATGCATTATATACATAATTGATATGATTATTTTAAAAAACTAATTCCTAAATGTATAGGCAGTATAAGTTTTACTGACTGGTAGTTATCATTTGGCTTAACTGAGATATAACTTATCTCCTCACAGGGCTGGACTGAGGTGATTAAATAAGGTAATTTAAGTAAAGATATATACATTAAGAACCCAATAAATAGGGCTAGTGGAGTGGCTCAAGTAGCAGAGTACCTGCCTAATAAGCATGAAGCCAAGAGTTCAACCACAGTACCACAGAAAAAAAAAAAAAGCTTCTTAAAAGCTGGTGGAGTGGCTCAAGTGGAAGAGCACCTGCCTAGCAAGCATGATACCCTGAGTTCAAATACCAGTACTGCCAAAAAAAGAACTCAATAAATCTGAGAAGTTGGATAATCTACTTCTCTGTAGGTAGGTAATTAAGAATTTGAGCAATTTCTAGACATACTAATAAATTATTCTAATAAATCATGTTTTTAAAAATAGTGTTGGAAATCTTTGCTGTTAATTAAAAATCATGACCCCAAACAAAGGCACTGACAAGCAATACTTTCCTGATTTATTTTTAGGAGGAGGATGAAAAGAGGAAGAGGGTAAGGGGAGGGAAGGAGGAGAAAGAAAGATGATGCAGACAATTAGCAAAACCCTTCTTCAGGAAGCTAGGTACCTTGTTATAAGATGCATGAACCCCATAATACAGCATCAAGAGTAAGAAAAGGTGCAAAAACATGGGATGGCTGCTATTAATTCTTTTGCCAAATCTACCTCAAGATTCTCCTCAGAAATGTCTCAACTCTTTGGTCCAATAATCCAATGATATCCAAAAGAATTTCCAAAAGACTTTATATACCAACATATTCATAAAGCACAGTTTATAACAACAAAAGCAAAATGGAAACTCATTAAATGCCCTATGATAAATCCATGGGTAAGTAAATTAATGGTGTACCTACTTGATGAAGTAGTAGGTAGTCATAAAACAAATGTTTAGAAAATATACTCTCATGAGTAAATGTTTTAGTCATAATACTAAATGAAAGAGTCTGTGTGTGTGTGTGTGTGTGTGTGTGTGTACACACACACGTCTATGTGAAGGATAAAAATACAGCAAAGCACTGCCAGCTGTCATCTTTGGTTGATACTATAGGCAGTATTTTCTTTTCTCCATAGTTATGTATTTCTAAGTTTTCAAATAAGAACAAAAAATTTTAAATGAGTGCAAATGAACAATTTTTTTTGAAGTGGACATCTGATCCTATTAAACATTAGCTGCTTTTTTCTACATTTTCTTTGTCAGTTTAAGGTATTAAACTCACTAGGCAAAATGCTAGTTTTAAAGCTTTTTTTGTGGTACTAGGATTTAAACTCAAGGCCTTGTGTTCCTAGACAGGTACTCTATCACTTGAGCCATGCCCCACTCCACCCCCCAGTCTGCTAATTTAAAAACTTTAAAAAAAGGCAAACACACTTGCTTAACATATCTCTAGTATCTACAAACAAAAAAGGAAAAAGCTGTCTCCCTTTGCTGTGGTCACTCTTTCAACTTTTTCTCACAATCCCAGTGTAGTAATTCTTGGAGGACTAGCTGATTTGCCCAACAGTGTTTGAAATCAGCAGGAAACCCTTTCAATTATTTCATTTCCTTCCTGACCCCTTGAGGAGGGCAAGTTTCCTCCAATGTGAGTAAAAAAACATCAGAAAAGACTAATTTGAATTTATCCCAACTTGCTCAAGAAGTAATCACAAGGAGTGAGTAGCTTGGGAGACAAGACAGACAGGATTGAGGGGTTCTGATTTATGGCCAAACCAAATAGACTAAAGACCCTGGTAAAAATAAAAAATCAGTAGATTATAAACTTTAGTGGCTATTTATTTCTGAAAACATACACAAAATAGCTGAACTGCCCCTGCAGTGCTATTCTGGTACATTCAGAAAGGAGAGGAACTCTATGCTTTACTCTCAACATTTCTGAGTTTTCAAATCTATCATGTACTTATTCAAGCGTACCCTCCACCCTCAGCCCATGATCCCTTGTTGGCTCACAGGCAGGAGAGCTGGATTTGCTGGAGGAATCGCTTGTGAAGCTCTGCCTGGAGCACTCATAGTCACTGAATGAAGCCATGCTTTCAGAAAACCGTGAAGAGTCTGAATCGCTGGGCTGGTCCTCACCTACATACTGCTTCTCACCATTGAAGGGCATTTTGTGTCACTTGAGTGTAGACAGAGAGAGAGCACCTGCATAGACATAGAGAGCCTGCATCATCATTCTGGGGTACTTTCCCTGGTGCCACAGATGCATTTTCAGTGTAGATGACTTGTGCCCACAAGTGTAACAGTGTTGGAAAGGCCCCCAGACTACATCATCCTTCCACTAGCATCCTGGCCAGGCTGTCATGAGTCCATCAAGACTGCCTTCCAGAAAAGAGATTCCACAGTCCATTGGTGTGAGCTGACTCAGGACATACCCACTGCAAATGCAGGACAGCTCTAAGCAATGACAGATCCTTAAGAAAAAAAAAAAAAATTACACAATACACAGATGTTCTCCTCCTGGGTCCCTAAAACAGGGTAAGGGGAGAGAGTGGGGCTCTGGGGTCAGAGTGTTTATTCTATCTTGGGAAGTCAATTAACCACCTGCCTCATCAGTGAAACTGGACTGAAAGACTGACCTCATGGGGTTAACAATTAAATAGGATAAATCTTATTGACACAACACTCAAATGTTACTTTTTTCTCTTCTTGTTTTAAATAAAATGTTTGAAATCAGCCTCTTTATGCCTTCTGTGAGCTTCTGTGGGGAAGGGAAAGACTAATGAGCATCTCTGGCTGACAAGTCTTTAGCTTCTTTCTGGCCATTTTCAGATGAGTTGTCACAACATGAAGAGTAAGATCTGATATTTGGCTTGTACTTGACCATTTACAAAGTACCTACCTTAACCCAGTAAGTCAATAGGATTATAGGATCCTGACTCACAGGACAGGAGAACAGACTCAGAGGGACCAGGGGACTAACTGTACCACAGAGCCAGGCACCTGATTCTATGTCTAGTGCTGTTTCTGGGACATAAGACTGCCTCCCAGGGAAAGAAGTTGGGCCTGGCACAACCCAGAAAGATAATAGGCACATGAGATACCCAGACTTAGGTCCAAGATCACAGCCAGGCCTGTGAGAAAGCTGGCCTTGATAGAAGCATGGTATCAGCTGACACTAAAAGGGAAATCTGGCCCAAGAAAAAAGGTACTTCAACTCCTGGATAGACAACAATGGTAAGAATTCACTGTATCCCTTTAAACCTGAGCCAGCCCATACAATGAGGAATGCAATGCTTTTAAAGCTGCCAGAATGTGAAACTTACCTTCCTCTCTAGCTTGGTATCTCTCTTTACCAACATTTTACTTCCTATTGATAGTAATTCTTGAAAATACTACTTTCTCCAAGAAGCCTTTCTCTACCTTCCCACAGAGTTCATGGCACTTTTCTTAGTACATCTGCAGCATATCTCCTGCATCTCCATAAAAGCATTTTTACAGTTATTTTCTTCCCATGGCTACTTCTGAATCTCCTTAATAAGGCTGACACTGTATTTTGTCCACTGCTTGTGCCAAGTATGTTACAAGTATTCATTCACTATCAGCTAAATTATAATCATTGAACCTCATTTGATAGAGCTTCAACTACCACATTTGCAAACTGCTATCACTATCCATTTATGTGCCTGGTATTGCCAAAGACCAAGCCCTAGAGCAGAGAATCTACCACCTAAGCCTAGCTTATTAGATTTAAAACTCAAAATTGGCACACTTCTTTGAATATCTTGACTGTTTCCACTATAATATAGTAAATGTGCCTCATATGCTCTGCTCTTGATTTTTTTCTTTACTCCAGCTGCCTCAAATGAGCAGGTCTTCAGCAGTTTTTTTCCAAGTAAATAAAAATTTTCATTCATGGGAACTTAGGAACTAAGTTAAAGTTATTCATTTTCTTACTCCAGCAGGATAGCACATTTCGTAGGTTTAAGTTATATTTAACAAGGCAGCCAAGTGCAAAGATTTGAAAAAATAAAAAGATCTCTAGGTTAGGCCAGGGTTTGAGGCCAAGGTCTATCATTAACTTGCTGTGTGACTTTATCACATCTACTCTCTTCATCTCTTTTTTCTTGATATGGCTGGGCTAGTTATACAGTTCTTTCTGCTAGGAATTGCTAATATGCCCCAAGAAAGAGTTCCACAAGGCATTACTAGGAGTTGTAAAAAACTAAATGTGCTCATAGCAAGCATGTTGAATTGAGATCAAATAAGCTTTCTAACAAGAAGTCACCAGAGATGGCATTCTTGGCATAGGAATGCAACAGAAAATTTAAAAGCTTCATAATGTAAGAAGCTCTTGTTTAGTTGGTAGAAGCCTCCACATTACAACTGGGCCTTACTTTATCCAAGTAGAAGCATGTCTTTGAAGCCAAGCACTCTATTAAAAAATTGTTTGGGGGAGTGGGGGTGTGGCTCAAGTGGTATGATGCCTGCCTAGCAAGCATGAGGCACTGAGTTCAAACCTCAGTTCTGGCTAGGGATGTAGCTCAGTGCTAAAGTACTTGCCTAGCATGTATAAGGCCCTGGGTTCAATCCTCAGTACTGAAAAAAAAAAAAAAAACAAAATCAAACCCCAGTACTACCAAAAAGAAAAAAAAAAGAAATTGTCTATTTCCTCATAGAGGCATACCAATCATGCCTAATTCATAGTATTGGGATGATATTTCTTTTATATAGAGAGTTCTTGGGACAGTGTGTGACACACAGAGAACAGAATATAGATGTTTGCTATGATGATTTACTTTTTTGTTTGTTAATATCACCACAGTCATTAAAAACTCTTCAGGGAAGAACAGAGTTATCTCAGGGTAATAAAAGCATGGTTGCTCTATAGACAAACAAGGCTAGTAACCTAGCCAGACCTCCTGCACTTGTCTGAAATACAAAACCCAAAAGCAAATGGCCCACAAAGTGAATGTTCTTCTGCAAGGGCTTTTACACCTACTCTTACCTTTCTTGGTTTTTGGTTTCCATATAGATCATTTAAGGACAAAGTTACTTGACTCAAATGACATTGTAGAACTGTTGTGAAGATTAACTGAAGTAGTTGAAGTCCAAGTACTTAAGCTCCTTGTAAGGACCTGACATATCTCAGCTATTGTTTTACTCTTATTAAAATAAGTTATAAATACTGAAAATGTCAATATCATAAAAAACAGTGAATGAGGATATATTCCAGATGCAAAGAGACTCGGTAACTGTGGTGGTTTGAATGTGCCTCTCAAAAAGCATGTTTTGGAAACTTAATTCCCAATGCAACAGTACTGGAAAGTGGGACCCCATGGGAAGTATTTAGGTCATGAGGGGTCCACATTCATGAATGGATTAATGCCAATTATAAAAGTCATGAGGCTGTAAATTTAATGTCTAATGCATTCTCTTGCTCATGTGATGCCTTCCACCATGCTATAATTCAGCAAGAAGGCCTTTACCGATGCAAGTCCCTAAATCTTGGACTTTCCTGTCTCCAGAACCATGAGATAAATAAATTTCTGTTCATTATAAATTACCCAGATTTTGGTATTCTGTTATCACAACACAAAATGAACTAAGACAATGACTGAATGCAACAGATGATCCTAGACTGGATCCTGCACTAGACAAAATAAATGCTATAAAGGCCACTATTGGTCAATGATAATATTACCACAATAGTTGAATCTCCTGTCTGTATTCCAATGTTAAATTATTAAAGTTGATAAATGTAATGTGGTTATATGTTTAGGAATAAAGGGCCCTGATGTGTGTAACTTCCTCTCAAATGGTTGAGCCAGAGTCAAAAGCAGACCACAGGTATTTTTGAAACTTCTTCCGTAAGTTTGAAAGTATTTACAGATTAATTGTTTAAAAGAGAAGTACTGAGCTGAAACCTCCAGGTTCTGATTCAGCAGACCTATGTTCTGCAGTTTTTAGGTTTTGATTTTTCCAGCTACTTAGGTACCACTCTATTATAAAATCACTTTAGAGTGAAACTTGTCCCTATGTCCTTCTTCAATAGCACCTAGAGAATTAAACAAGAAATAGGCCAAAATCCTTCAGAAAAGGAAAAATAAGTCATTTCTTTAAAGAGTTCACTCCCGGGTGGTTTCTCTTTTCCTAAAAAAATCTTTTGGTGGGTCAATAACCATTTTGTGATCTGGCCTTTACTCACCTCACTCCCTGACCATTCAGGCTCTAGAATCAGCACCTTTTTGGAGTTCTTCAGACATGCCACACTTCTTTCTTTGGAGCACGTTCATCTGCTATTATTCAATGATGCCTTCACAGTATAGCACTTGCTGCAGCCATTCCAGGGTAAGGTCAGCTTGCTTCCACATGTGCAGGCATTCATGTGGTGGTGGATAGACAAATTTGGCAGGGTGGAAGTAGAAAGAATGAGCTACTCACCTTTGTTATGCTACTCACCTAAATTCCAAGTGGTTGGCTCCTTGTGGTCATTCAGATTTGAAACTGAATGTTTTAAGTTCAAGGTGACCGTCCCTGAAATTCCCACTTACCACATCCAATTAGTCATGTAAAGCTTAGATCACTGTCTGGGATGAGCTAAGAGCTCAATGAATATAATATTGTTGCATGAACAAATTAAGCCACACTTCTATTCATGAAACAACTTGAGTTTTCTATCTCTTCTGTTTCTGTCACATTGCTCATATTACCACTAGGCAGTTACTTAAAGTGCTATAGTTGTTGTCTGCATATCTGCCTTCCAACTAAATTTTGAGCTGCTTCTCCAATTTCTAGTACCTATCTCAACACATTTCCAAGGTACCAATAATTCAAGCTATGAAACATTCACAGTTCCAGAATCTTAAAGAAATTTTTACATTGGCCTTTCAACTCTGGCACTCACTGACACCGAATAATAACAATTAAAGCTAACAGTCATGAATTGCTTATTATGGCCTCAATAATAAGCACTCTGTAAGTGCTTTCAATACTTTTTCTCCTTGAATCCTCATTATATTCTTTAGCTAAGGTTATCATCCCCATTTTGTATTAAGAACCTGAAGCTCAGAGAGGTTCACATTACTTGCCCCAAAGGTTCATGGCAATGCAGAGGCACAACTGAAATCCAGGCAGTGGAATCCTTAAGCCTATGCTCTCTATCACTCCAGGATGGGTGAAGAAAATTAGTGTGCTGCTCATTCTTTCTACTTCCACCCTGCCAAATTTGTCTATCCACCACCACATGAATGCCTGCACATGTGAAAGCAAGCTGACCTTACCCTGGGATGGCTGTAGCAAGTGCTATACTGTGAAGGCATCATTGAAAGAGGTCACTCTCCAAAATAATTCTCAACTACCTCACTATTGTAACTGAAAATAATCTGTTAGGGTGCCATTCTTTATGCACTGTAAATCCCTGGTGAAAACTCAATTATTATCAAGAGTTAACTGCGTACAGCTAGTATGAGTCATAAACATTTTGGAGTGAATTATTCAGATAATCCAGCAGGGCCCTGAGGAATGAAACCCATCCAGTTAAGGTTCAGTCATGGAAAAGACAAATTTCAAGAAACATTTAGTGGATACCATCCTTCAAGATCAGCTCAAAGTGAGGTGCAAGGACAAGCATTCATATTTGTGTAGCAAAAAGCAGGAGGTCAGAGTATTTAAGACTGGGCTCTGATGAAAAAAATTGCAGATGCTGGAATAAATCCATCTTCTGTAAGGCCGCTTTAGCACCAGTCCCAAATAGCAGTGCTAAAAAGTTATTCATCCACAGCAAGCAAAAACCATACGGCAGGGGTGGGCACAGTGGCTCGCTCACAGCTGTGGTCACAGCAACTCAGGAGGCAAAAATCAGGAAGGTGGAGGTTCAAAGCCAGTCCCAGCAAAAAGCTAGTGACACCCCCAACTCAATCAATATGCCAGGCACAGTGTGGTGCTTCTGTGATCCCAGCTACGCAGGAAGCCACAGGTAGGAGGATTCAATCTGAGACTCCTCCTGCAAAGAACCTGACAGTTTACCTGAAAAATAACTAAAGCAAAAAAGAGCTGGAGGTGTGGCTCAAGTGGTAGAGCACATGCCTAGCAAGTGCCAAGGGCTGAGTTCAAACCCCAGTACTGCAAAAAGAAAAAATAAAATAAACCCAAAAAAGCTGTAAAGCAGAGAACTAGGTGCCTGCATGATCCAGCTAGACAATATCGGTCTTCATCAAATTAGAACTAACCAACAAAGAGCTAGATAAAAGCCAACAAGCCAGTCACTGTCTATTAAGCAGATGTTCATGCTACGCATGGCATTACAGCATCAGGGAGAAGGGTTTCTGGGCACTTTCCACACTTGAACACGCTCTCTTCCCATCCCTGCTACCTGCTTTAGTACCTGGGCTCCTCAATCCCTCACAAAATGGCATGAAAGGGAGCTGCTTCCTGAGATACACATGACTGGGTATTTCAGCCCTGGGCCCCTTCAAGTCAGGTGACCTCCACTGGCTGCCAGGGATGAAATCTCTAGAGGGAGGAGGAAGAGGCTGGCCGGCAGGGAGGCTGCTGAAGTGGGAGCCACTGAGATAACCTCATTATGAGCTGGAGGTAGGAGGAGCAGGATCTTTGGGCTGGAGACCATGAGTGAGTAAAGAGGGGCGCACTGGGGACAAGGCCCACTGGTCTAGTTTCCCAGTAGTTAAGATAGCAGGACAACCGTCTAAGAGCAGATTCCCTAGGCTTTCGTCATTTGAGCACCACTCTTCACTACTGTTTCCTCATCACCATCTCTCCCTCTACCAGCATTTAGCAAACGTTTCTTTACCTGGACTAGAGTTTTGTACATAGATACATGCATTTAAAAGGAAATCACTACGAAGCCGACCGTTTTATGGAAGGTTTCCTTCATACTAACGAAAACATACAACCACGTGCCACCGTATCACCGCTGCCACCCGTGGTGGTGCCAGCCTACTTAGCAGCTCTAAGAAGAGCAAAACCATCCCTGAAAGGACCCGGGTTCGAGCCCTGGCTAGGCCGGCGATTCCCCGCCTCTTCCCCGGGAGCCCCTCCCCTCTCGGAGCACCACGTTTCCTGTCAAAACAAACCCGTGGGGCCAGGGACCGCGGAGGCCAAGCCCAGCGCCGGGGAAACCCCGGCAACAAAACCCAAACATAAGCTCCGGCCTCGCCCTCTCCACCGCGGCTCGGCCCCGACTCCAGCGGGCCGGGGGGCGCGGGGACGGCGCCATGACCCGCAGCCGCGGGCCGCGCAGTGGCTGGCACCGGCCCGGCGGGATGTAAACAGCCAGCCAAGCGACCCCGGCTCCGCCACCCCTCGGCACCCGCGACTCGAAGTCCAACAAGGCGACCGGAGTGGGGATAAGAGGTCGAACTTAAGGGCCCCTGGCACCGCCGTCTCGGGACGGAGGAGGCCCTCGGGCTGCCGGTTGGAGAGGTGCCCCTCCTCCCGCGCTGGTCTGTCACCTCAGAGCCCGCGACCCTTACCCGGGGTCGGATACGTACCGGGTCCCGCGCGAACACAAGAGAAAGGCGGAGTGACCCCAGGACTGGCGTGTGTGGGTTTCTCCTCACAGAGCACCGCACAACCTCAGAAACTCTGCCTCCCACAACTCCCGGCCCCGCCGTTGTCTCCCCACTCCACTGTCCCCCCCAACCCCGTCTCCCTCCTCCTCCCCCCGTCCCGTATTAAAGGCCCTGAGGGACTCTAGGGAGGAGGCCATCCCAAAACGGGTAAGCGGGGAGATAATGGGAGAAGCGGAGTCGGAGAATGTACAGTATTTTAGGCTGCGATTGCGGAAATCTCATAGATTCGACCTACTATAGACATAGTTTTTCTCAAGCTTGCATCAGAGAGGTTAAGAATAGCTTGGATTCGAGGGAATTTCGGATGCAAGAGGAACGGCTCCCCTGCCCCATGTACAGTGAGTGGTACGTTCCAGGACTGCGAGGGGCGGGGAGAGGAATGTTTACGGAACTGGGGCGGCCGTGCAGGCCCGAGAGTCGGCGTTCGGGGCGGGGCAGAGCGGGCGCTAGGGGCGGGGCCGGGCCGGAGGAGCCCTAGGGGCGGGGCCCAAGAGACAGGCTGTGGATCCACGGAGGAGAGCTGCACCCACGGATGGGTTCGCGGCGTGCGGCCGCGTGAGCGATTCTGGCCGCTCGCCGCCGTGCGCGAAACTTTCAGTAACCCACACTCTCCTTATGTAAACGGGGCACTCGAAACTGGGTGTCCACCACTACACCCTCCACACATACAGGGACAAGCGAACCGACAACGTGGCAAGTGGTCTTTCCCACATTCATCCTCGACCCAGCCGCGTCTTCGATGTTTGTGTCTACGTGTT